ATTAGCTGGGCATCGTGGTGCACAACTATTGTCCCAGCTAGCTGGGAGGTTGAGGCAGGAGGATCACTTGAGCCCAGGAGTTTGAGGCTGCAATGAGTCATTGTGGTGTCACTACACTAAAGCATGGGTGACAGAGCGAGACCCTGTCTCAAAAATAAATAAAAAGAGATTACAGACGTGGCCTACATTTTTTATTTATTTTTTTAATACAGATAGGGTCTTGCTATGTTGACCAGACTGCTCCTGAACTCCTAGCCTCAAGCAATCCTCCCACCTCAGCCTCCCAAAGCACTGGGATTACAGGCATGAGCCATCATGCCCGGCCCAACTTTTTTTTTTTTTCCTTTAAACATGGTATTCTCTCAAAGACTGTTGAATAACTCAGAGAAGAATTGATCAGGATCTGAACCCAGAGCAGGTTAATGGCATGGAGAGTGTGGAGAAAAGGAGACCAATTTTTCTGAAGGATAGGCGGGAATTGGAAACTCACTGGAAACACTTGCGGGGAGTGAGGGTGGGAGGAGTTCAGATTTTTTTTTTTTTTTTTTTTTTTTTTGAGACGGAGTCTTGCTCTGTAACCAGGCTGGAGTGCAGTGGCGTGATCTTGGCTCACTGCAACCTCCACCTCCTGGGTTCAAGCAATTATCCTGCCTTAGCCTCCTGAGTAGCTGGGACTACAGGCACACGCCACCATGCCCAGCTAATTGTTTGTATTTTTAGTAGAGATGGAGTTTCACCATGTTGGCCAGGATGGTCACGATCTCTTGACCTCGTGATCTGCCCAACTCGGCCTCCCAAAGTGCCGGGATAACAGGTGTGAACCACCGTACCCGTCCTGGGGTAGATTTGTTTGCTTGTTTGTTTGAGATAGGGTCTTGCTCTGTTGTCCAGGATGGAGTGTAGCGGTATAATCTCGGCTCACTGCAACCTCCATGTCCTGGGTTCGAGCAATTTTCTTGCCTCAGATTCCCAAGTAGCTGGAATTATAGGCACACACCACCATGCCTTGCTAATTTTTGTATTTTGCTAGACAGGGTCTCGCCATGTTGGCCAGGCTGGTCTTGAACTCCTGACCTCAAGTGATCCACCCACCTCGGCCTCCCAAAGAGCTGGGATTACAGGCATGAGCCACCATGCCCAGCCTGGTGCTGGGAATCTGAAGAAGGAACAATGACCTTGCCTATGGTAGGTGGGGAGATTGCATAGAGGCAGAGCCCTTGGAAAGAAACACTTGAAGGATGAGGAAGAGTTTAACTGATTTGGAAAAAGGAAAAGCTCAATGTGGGTAGAGAGCCAAGGATGTTTGGAAGAGTGAGAGATGGGGTGATAAGGCCAGCTGAAGGAGGCTTTGGCAGTCAGGCCAGAATTCAGACTTGACTCTGAGTTACTGGGGAGTTCCTAAAGGATTTCGAGCAGCGGAGTTCCTTGGCCAGGATTCTGAAGGAAAATCTCTCCGGCAGTGGTTTCCAAAGACCTGGAGTCCTTTTATGAATCCATTGTCTTAGCTGGAAAATGGATGGCCTTACCCACTCCCAATCCCATCATGGCTTCTGGTCAACTTAAACCATGAGAATTTTTTTCTTTTTCTTTTTTTGAAACAGGGTCTTGCTGTGTTGCTCAGGCTGGAGTGTAGTGGTGTGATCACAGCTCACTGCAGTCTTGATCTCCTGGGCTCATGCAATCCTCCCACCTCAGCCTCCCCAGTAGCTGGGACTACAGGATTGTACCATCATGCCTGGCTAATTTTTAAAGTTTTTGTAGAGATGGTAGAGGGGCACATCCCTCTGTTGCCCAGGGTGGTCTTGAGCTCCTTGGCTCAAGCAGTCCTCCCTCCTCTGCCTCCCAAAGTGCCGAGATTACAGGCGTGAGCCACCTTGCCTGTCCTGGGAACTGGTTTTTAATCAGCTCATCAAAACCTTCATCTCACTTGCTAACAAAGGGAGCCGCTTCCTTCCTCTCTGCACATACCCCATGTCTCACCATGATAATGGAGTTACAGTGGGACTTGGAATCCAGATGTGTGAAAGATGGAGGGGTTGAAGGTGCATAGAGGGGTGATGGGCAAAGGGGTCCAGGGGGTGATAACCCCAGGTATTCTTGGCCTTGGCCTTCCCCACCTCTCTGGGACTGGGCCAGTTTGAGCATCTCAGCTGCCTCTTCTGCCCGCCCACTCGTTAGCCGCACTCAGCTTCCTGCCCCACCAGAGGAAGTGGGGAGAGACGGCAGGTGCAGTGATGGCTGGCGGAGTCATGGTGAGTCCTTATGCCCAGAAACCCAGGCATCTCGGCCCCCAGCCCCCTATGCCTAGGGTCCCCAGACCCCACTGACTCTTCCTAGCCCAGGAACTCAAATGATCCTGGGGACCCTGCCTGCCATTGCCAGCAGCCTCATATTGTCCACCCCCATCCACAGGACAAGGAGTACGTGGGTTTTGCTGCCCTCCCCAACCAGCTGCACCGCAAGTCTGTCAAGAAGGGGTTTGACTTCACACTAATGGTGGCAGGTCTGGGGGGTTTTGGAGAGGGAACTGCAGAGAGGATGCCCTTAGGAGACCCTGGTTGTCCCCTCCCCTGACCAGCTGGGCCTGTTCTGTCCACAGGGGAGTCAGGCCTAGGGAAATCCACCCTCATCAACAGCCTCTTCCTCACCAACCTCTATGAGGATCGCCAGGTGCCAGAGGCCAGTGGTAAGACCCTCCCCACCCTCCCCAGGCAGTGGCCCCTGTCCCCAGGTTACACCCTAGTCTTTTCCATCTGGGGACTCAGGTAGTTGACTACTTTTTTCTGAGACTTTCCTCCCCTGGAAAATGGGTGCAGGCAACTGTGATATTAACAAAGGAAATTAATCTTGCCTCAGAGCCTCCCTGGATCCCTGACCTCTCCCCCCTCCCACAGCTCGCTTGACACAGACCCTGGCCATTGAGCGCCGGGGTGTGGAGATCGAGGAAGGAGGTGTGAAAGTGAAGCTAACCCTTGTGGACACGCCTGGCTTTGGGGACTCAGTGGACTGCTCTGACTGGTGAGGAAGAGGGAAGGGGACAGAGGCTCAGCCTCTCACAGTGGCGACTCCCTGAAGACCAACGAGTCAGTTACAGGGCTGGTTTGTGCTGGCTCCCTATTCCAAAAGGTTGTGTCTGTTTCAGAGGGTCACTGGGTCTCTGTGCTTCTTGATGACTCGCCTAGGCCCCCACCAGTTCCCTTTAATGTCTTTGGAGGGAGCCAAAGAAATGATGTTCTATTCCCACAGTCCTGGCTAGCCTCGCCCCCTGCCCTCTGGCCTTTGATCTCTGACCTCACATCCTCTTCCCACACCCAGCTGGCTTCCCGTGGTGAAATTCATCGAGGAGCAGTTTGAGCAGTACCTTAGGGATGAGAGTGGCCTGAACCGGAAGAACATCCAGGACTCCCGCGTCCATTGCTGCCTCTACTTCATCTCACCCTTTGGCCGGGGGTCTGGTGGGGGGATCCTGGGGGCTGGGGCATTTAGGGAGGGCTGGGGGGTCTCTGCCCCCTGAGGCTGGGCACTGACCAATCCCTGGGTGCAGGCTCCGGCCCCTAGATGTGGCCTTCCTTCGGGCGGTACACGAGAAAGTCAACATCATCCCAGTCATTGGCAAAGCGGATGCCCTGATGCCCCAGGAAACCCAGGCCCTCAAGCAGAAGGTGTGAGTGATGACCTCTGGCCTTTGACCCCAAGTGAGGCCAAACCTGATTTCAGCTTAGACTTCTTTGTTTTTTTTTTTTTTTTTTTTTGAGACGGAGTCTCGCTGTGTCGCCCAGGCTGGAGTACAGTGGCGTGATCTCGGCTCACTGCAAGCTCCGCCTCCCAGGTTTTCACCATTCTCCTGCCTCAGCCTCCTGAGTAGCTGGGACTACAGGCTCCCGCCACCGCACCCGGCTAGTTTTTTGTATTTTTTAGTAGAGACGGGGTTTCACCATGTTAGCCAGGATGGTCTCGATCTCCTGACCTCGTGATCCGCCCATCTCGGCCTCCCAAAGTGCAGGGATTACAGGCTTGGCCCGGCCGACTTCTTTGATCTTAAAGTGGCCTTTTTGGAGCATAGTGTCTCAGGCTAGATTGTAGGAGAAGCTTCTGAGGAATGTGGGTGGTAAGCTGCCAGCCAGCGTAGCCATGTCTCTGAAGGCTCAAAATAGGCTAGATATGCAGCCCCTGGGCTAGATGCCTGGCTAAGGCCTATTTGAGGGCGGGAGCATAGACATAAGAACATGGTGACTTCCATCTGGCCCCCACCCCGTGTCTTCAGAGCCCTTTCCCACTGTTTCTGCTTATATATCTCTCAGCCTCTCTTTTTTTTTTTTTTTTAAGATAGAGTCTCACTCTGTGGCCCAGGCTGAGTACAGTGGCAAGATCATAGCTCACTGCAGCCTCAAATTTGTAGGCTCAAGTGATCCTCCTGCCTCAGCCTATTGAATAGCAGGGACTACAGATGAGCACCACCATGCCCGGCTAACTTTTTTGGCTGGGCGTGGTGGCAGACACCTGTAATCCCAGCACTTTGGGAGGCTGAGGTCAGTGGATTACTTGAGCTGAAGAGTTTAAGACAAGCCAGGGCAACATGGCAAAACCCCATCTCTACAAAAAATATAAAAATTAGCCAGGTGTGGTGGTGTGCACTTGTAGCCCCAGCTATTCAGGAGGCTGAGATGGGAGGATCACCTGAGCCTGTGAGGTTGAGGCTGCAGTGAACCAAGATGGAGCCACTGGACTCCACCCTGGGTGATAGAGTGAAACCTTGTTTCAAAATATATATATATTTTTGTAGAGATGGGATCTAGCTATATTGCCCAGGCTTCTCCTGGTCTCTTAATGTCTGCCCCATATTAGAATCTTGTGTTTCTCACCATCTATGTCTCTGAGATTTTGTTTTTGTCTTCCTGTACGTCCATCTCTCCCCATCTCTGTCTTTCATATCTTTCTGTCTCTGACCACCCAGTATCTCTGTGTCTCCCTGTCTCTGGTCATGCAATGTCTGTCATTGTGGCCCGTTTCACACTGTCTCTGTATCTGTTTCCCCTGAGATCCGGGATCAGTTGAAGGAGGAGGAGATCCACATCTACCAGTTCCCTGAATGTGACTCTGACGAAGATGAAGACTTCAAGAGGCAGGATGCAGAGATGAAGGTGTGGGAGACAAAGAAGGAAGGCAGGCTGGGCACGGTGGCTCACGTCTGTAATCCCAGCACTTTGGGAGGCTGAGGCAGGCGGATCCCCTGAGGTCAGGAGTTCGAGACCAGCCTGGGCAACATGGCGAGACCCCGCCTCTACTAAAAACACAAAAATTAGCTAGGTGTGGTGGCGGGCGCCTGTAATTCCAGCCACTCGGGAGGCTGAGGCAGGAGAATCACTTGAACACTCCAGCCTGGGCAATGGAGCGAGACCCTGTCTTAAAAAAAAAAAAAAAAAGAGGAAGGGGCAGGAAGCAGAGGAGGTGGGTGTGGAGATTGAAGCTGGGAAAGAGAAAGTTTCTGCCATGTGGGCCAGCGGTGACCCCTGCCCCCTGCCCTCCAGGAAAGCATCCCTTTTGCAGTCGTGGGTTCATGCGAGGTGGTGAGGGATGGCGGGAAGCGACCGGTGAGGGGACGCCGCTACTCCTGGGGGACCGTGGAGGGTGAGTGAGGCCAGGCAGGGTTCCTAAGGCCAGCAAGGAGCCCGGGGCCTCTGGGTCAGGCGCACTCAACATGTGAAGTTGGGGTGGGCTTTGGTCCCAGGGGATCCTAGGGGGAAAGGGGTTCTCCTTTCCATGGGCTGCAGACCGCGGACCCTCCGCTAGAGTGGCAGCAGGACTTCCCTGTTGACCCGACCCTACGAGTGGGTGGGACCCGAAACTCCCTGACGTTCGCTGGTCCGCGCCGCCCCCCCTCCAGTGGAGAACCCACATCACTGCGATTTCCTGAACCTGCGACGGATGCTGGTGCAGACACACCTGCAGGACCTGAAAGAGGTGACGCACGATCTGCTCTACGAGGGCTACCGGGCCCGCTGCCTACAGAGCCTGGCCCGGCCTGGGGCTCGCGATCGAGCCAGCCGCAGGTGAGACCCGGGGCCGACAGTCTCGGAGCCTCCAAGGTCCCGCCTCACCCAAGACCCTGCCCTGAGGCCCCGTCCCCACCACCCGTGAGTCCGCCTTCACCACTCAGACCTCTCTCTCCCTCCCTCCTTCTCTCTCTCCCTCCCTCTCTCCCTTCCTCCCTCTCTCCCTCTCCCTCTCTCCCCACCGGCTTTGCCTCCGGCCCTAACCTCAGGGACCTGGCTCCGCCTCCTAGACCCCAACCTCGCCCCAGGCCCTGCCTCCTGGGCCTCACCCACAACCTCAGGCCCTGCTCCTGATTCCTGTCCCCTTCCCACTGTCCCGCAGTAAGCTTTCCCGCCAAAGCGCCACGGAGATCCCGCTGCCCATGCTGCCTCTGGCGGACACCGAGAAGCTGATCCGCGAGAAAGACGAAGAGGTGAGCATGCACCTCGCTTCCCCCCGACAGAGGCCCCAGGTCCCTCGCTGGCCTCGCCAGGTCACCGCCTGCAATCTCGCCCTGCACAGCTGCGCCGCATGCAAGAGATGCTAGAGAAGATGCAGGCCCAGATGCAGCAGAGCCAGGCCCAGGGCGAGCAGTCAGACACCCTTTGAGGCCACGCCCCTCCCGGCCTTACCTCGGCTCCGCCTTCAGTCGGCCTCTTGTCCAATCCCCGCGCCCCACACTGCCCAGCGCCCCCTGGAACCCCGTGGGTGCCGCCCTCGCGCGGGCTAGGGGGAGGTTCTACCAGCCCGGGCCCGTAGCCCCGCCCCGGCGCTGGTCCCGCCCACCCAGACACCGCCCACTTCCCGGCCGGAGCCTCCGGCCCAGTCTCCGACCGCCCCACTGTCTTCCGGGGTGCCCCCCTCTTCTCCCAGACTGTCTTCAATAAAAACTGAGCTTCCCGCGGCCACGCGAGCCTTCTCCTTCCTTGCGGAAAAAGGCGGCGGGCGTAGATTGTGGGGCCGTCCCCCGCAGGCCTCCAGGCCGCATCCATCCCTTTGTGGGGCGCTCCCACCTGAGGCCCTCGCGCAAACACTCTGAAGGCGCCCCCCATAAGAAACAAAGACCAGTTAAATTTTATTGGGAGCCGGGGTGGGGGTGGGGCCGAACGGAAGCGTCAGCCAGCAGAGGCCCGCGGAAGCCCCTACTCCTGGTCCTTGGCGTCGCCGTGCGTGATGACGTAGCAGATGTTTTTGTAGTCGACGTTGCCGCCCACGTCGGGGGGGAAAGCAGCCCACATGTTCTTGATCTGGGGAAACACGCAGGGGCGTCTCGCACCGGCCGTTAGGCTTCCCTCCCCCAGCCCCTTTGCTGCTCCGGCCCCGCCGCGGGGCCCACTCACCTCCTCCGGGGTGAAGCGGTCACACTGCGTGGTCAGCAGCTCCTCCAGGCTGGAGAGAGGTGATACACGGGGAGTTGCGATTGGGTTCCTGGTTCCTTTCCACTCCCTCGCACCTCATCCCCTTTGCCAGCCCGAGCCTCCCCCGAAAACCCAGGTCACTCTACTTCCTTCATTGGCCTCCCAGACACTCGCTTTTGCCCTCTCCACTCACATTTGCTGTGAAAATGCAGTCTTGCCGCCCATTACCACAATCTTAACTACTCCCTGACCTCTGACAGTGACTAACCCTTCGTAGGAATTTTTGGGGGTTTTTTTGTTTGTTTTGAGACAGGGTCTCGCCCTGATGCCCAGGCAGGAATGAAGTGGTTTGATCATAGCTCACTGCAACCTGGAACTCCTGGGCTCAAGGCATCTTCCTGCCTCAGCCTCTAGCGTAGCTGCGACTATAGGTGTTTGCCACCACGCCGGCGATTTTTTTTTTGTTTTTTGTTTTTGGAGACGGAGTTTTGCTATTGTTGCCCAGGTTGGAGAGCAGTGGCATGATCTCGGCTCACTGCAACCTCCGGCTCCAGGGTTCAAGCGATTCTCATGTCTCAGTCTCCCGAGTAGCTGGGACTGCAGGCGCCCGCCACCACGCCCAGCTAATTTTTGTATTTTTTGTAGAAACGGGGTTTCACCATGTTGGCTAGGCTGGTCTTGAACTCCTGACCTCACGTGATCCGCCCGCCTTGGCCTCCCAAAGTGCTAGGATTACAGGCATGAGCCACTGCGCCTGGCCAGCCCGCGAATTTTTTAGTTAATTGTTTAGAAACAGGGTCATGCTGCGTTACCCAGGCTGATCTCAAACTCCTGTCCACAAGCGAATCCTGTCTCCGCCTCCCAAAGCACTGGGATTATAGGCCTGAGCCACAGGGCCCAACCTTGGTAGGAATTTAAGGAGGCTTTCAGTGTGGGAGCAGCTGGTGGAGTGGGGGAAGGGTTGGAAGGGTGGGAGAGCTGATGCTTACAACTTCTTCTTGATGGTGCCCTTTCCTTCAGGGTCCAGGACCTTGAAGGCTCCAGTTATCACATCCTCAGGGTCGGCACCTGGGGGGGACAGAGGGCACATGAAGCTGATGGGTCCCTGAAGGATCTGGGAAAAGGCAGCTGGGGCCATGGATCCAGGACACTCCACTCACCCTTGAGCTTTTCCCCGAACATGGTCAGGAAGACGGTGAAGTTGATGGGACCACTGGCTTCCTTCATCATGGCATCCAACTCCTCATTCTTCACATTGAGGCGGCCTGGAGGGGGTTGGGGGAAGCGTGAGCTGGAGCAGCCTCCTGGAGCCAGGCCTGTGCTTCCTACTAATTCAGATGATCACATCCGTTTTTCAGCTGGGTAGACTGAGGCCCAAGGTGGAGCTGACAGGGCTGGAACCCAAGGCCACTGAATTTCCTAGACTCTGCAGCCTTGAATATTCCCACCTGGAGGTAGGGGGCTCACCCATGGCTGCGAAGGTGTCCCGAAGGTCCTCCTTGTCGATAATACCATCACGGTTCTGGTCGATCACAGTGAAGGCCTGGGGAGGGCCGGGGTGGGGAGGGTTAGGTCCCCCATGGCCCAGCCTCAGCATCCCTACCCCAGGCAGATCAGATGCTGGCTCCCAGCCAGCTGTCCTCTTCCACCCCAAGCAGGGAGGGGAGGAAGGAATTCTAAACCTTTCCCCTCCTTTGAACAGGTGCACATTCCAGGGAGAGGGCAGGGGAGAGGGCCAGCAGGGCTGTTTTTGGTCAGTCTTCCAGTTTCCCTTGTCCCCTCACCTCCTTGAACTCCTGGATCTGAGTCTGGTCAAACATGGAGAAGACGCTGGAACTTCCACCCTCTACTGCCCTTCTCTTGGCCTTCTTGGGTGCCTGGAGGGTGAGGGTTGAACAAAGGGGCCCATGGATGAGTCCCTCCACCTCTCTGGGAGCAATGAATTAGATTCAGAATTCTTTGAGTCCCTGTTCCTAAAGCAACCCTTTAGCCTGAGTCTCCCCTTCCTTGGGACCTCTTTGCTGAGGGGGCTTGCTTTGATTGCATTCCCCAAATTCCCCTCTGTGGCTCCTGGGTCTCCAACTCTTTATCCCCTACAATGGGTGGAAGCTTCTTCTCAGTGCCCTGAGCCTAGCTCCTCTGAGCCCCAGACTTGCTGAGGCTCAGCCACTCATTTGCCCTGTTTGAGCCTCTTTTCTTTTCTTTCTTTTCTTTTCTTTTTTCGAGACAGAGTCTCGCTCTGTCACCCAGGCTGGAGTGCAGTGCTGCGATCTCGGCTCACCGCAACCTCTGCCTCCCGGGTTCAAGCGATTCTTATGCTCCAGCCTCCTGAGTAGCTGGGATTACAGGCATGCACCACCATGCCGAGTTAATTTTTGTGTTTTTAGTAGAGACCGGATTTCGCCATGTTGACCAGGATGGTCTCAAACTCCTGGCTTCAAGTGATCCAACCGCCTTGGCCTCCCAAAGTGCTGGGATTACAGGCATGAACCACAGCACCTGGCCCCAGCCTCTACTTTCTCATTTGTAGAATGGGATGGGAGTTATTGCCCGGCTGGTGCCAGAGCACTTTAGGAAGATGGAATACAGGAACGAATGGGTCAGGTTTTGAGAGGGTCTGGGGCCCTGTGAGTTGAATGTCTGGGCGGATTATCACTGATTGGATCCCTAAGGCCATCACACGGTCTGTTTTCCATCAGTGATGCCGAGAAAGAGACGAGCATCCTTTTAACTTTTTGTTGGACTGGGAACCAGCTACTTTCTTTCAAAGGGTGAGGCTGCCCTGAGGTCTAAGGGATCTGAGCAGGGGTTGGAGAATTCTCACTCACCATGTCTTCAGTCTCCCGGGGGGCAAGGCAGCGGCTCCAGCTGGAAAGAAGCAGGGAGTCAGCATGGGGCAGTTCCTCTGGGGTTATATAGTCCTGCCCCAGGGAGCCCTTAACATACCAAGGTAACCTTAGCCCTGCGGGTGCCCACCCCAGATACCAAAATAGCCCAACTTAGGGCCTTTCCTTTCTTGGAGGGCCAGCAGCAGCTGGAGCCCAGGGGGGAGGAAGGGGGAGAGCAGGTCTTGCGATGCATGTCTCACTAGGGCCTGGGCAAGAAGGGATGTTCTTTCTCCCAAAGAGGGGCTGGAATGTGCCAGAGTTTAGAGAGGACCCAACCCAAGGCATCGTTCTGGGAGATACATGAACCAGATCCTGTACCCCTGAGTGGGGTGGGCTCAGATTTATTTATCTATTTATGAGACAGAGTCTTGCTCTGTCACCCAGGCTGGAGTGCAGTGCTGCGATCTCGGCTCACCGCAACCTCTGCCTCCCGGGTTCAAGCGATTCTTATGCTCCAGCCTCCTGAGTAGCTGGGATTACAGGCATGCACCACCATGCCGAGTTAATTTTTGTGTTTTTAGTAGAGACCGGATTTCGCCATGTTGACCAGGATGGTCTCAAACTCCTGGCTTCAAGTGATCCAACCGCCTTGGCCTCCCAAAGTGCTGGGATTACAGGCATGAACCACAGCACCTGGCCCCAGCCTCTACTTTCTCATTTGTAGAATGGGATGGGAGTTATTGCCCGGCTGGTGCCAGAGCACTTTAGGAAGATGGAATACAGGAACGAATGGGTCAGGTTTTGAGAGGGTCTGGGGCCCTGTGAGTTGAATGTCTGGGCGGATTATCATTGATTGGATCCTTAAGGCCATCACACGGTCTGTTTTCCATCAGTGATGCCGAGAAAGAGACGAGCATCCTTTTAACTTTTTGTTGGAGGGCTGTTTTTGGTCAGTCTTCCAGTTTCCCTT